GAAAATGGATCTTTTTTTTTTTTTTTTTTTTTTTATTGATTTGAGAGAAACATGGATTTGTGCTACTTACTTATGCACTCATTGGTTGCCGCGTGTATGCGCCCTGACTGGGGGCTGGACCTGCGTCCTTGGCGTATCAGGATGGTGCTCTAACCAACTGAGCTACCCGGTCACGACCTGTGTCCTCTATATCGTGTGGACTTGCTTGGGTCAAGTTCAGCATCTAAATAAGCTAAACTTATACCATTTCGGGTGAAACTGCTCCAGTGTGTCCCTTGCGCGCCTTGTTGAGAAGGCCTTGCTGTCACCCTAGGCATAAAAAGGAGAAGAAGAAAGACAAGGACAAGGAGCGAGGCAGGGACGAGAGGGAGCGGTCGACGAGCAAGAAGAAGAAGAGCAAAGACAAGGAGAAGGACCGGGACAGGAAGTCGGAGAGCGACAAAGATGTAAAAGTAGGTTTACAGACTAATTTAGTTTGGCATTTTGGGTGGTACTAGTACTTGTAAGAAGTGATTTTTCTGTGAAGACGTTTACTTTTATTATTCTCATTGGCAAAGCAGGTTACACGGGATTACGACGAAGAGGAGCAGGGGTATGACAGCGAGAAAGAGAAGAAAGAGGAGAAGAAACCAACAGACACAGGCTCCCCCAAAACAAAAGAATGTTCTGTGGAAAAGGGAAGTGGAGATTCCCTAAGAGAATCCAAAGTGAATGGGGATGATCATCACGAAGAAGACATGGATATGAGTGACTGAGCATCGCCTCCCGGAGTCCACCTGTGTACATGCATCAGTGTCATTCCTTTGTGTGATTTCTTCATGCTGTATTTGTTCATCTCAAACCTTAGATGTATACAGCTCTGAGCTATAAATGGTTATAAAGCTTCTGATATTGATATTATTTACATCCAAAAGCTTTTAGAAAATGATATGTGGGTAACCAATTCTTGACATGGTGAAATCTGAAACCAAGCAGTTTTACTATTCTGGTGCTGCTTCATAACAGAAGTGAAAAGCTGCATGCATCTACAGCAGGCATGGATTGTTTATGTTGTATGATCTCCTTTATTAAGTAAGTTCACTTATAGTATTTCTAGAATTCGATTCATTGTCATAATAGAGCCATGTAGGGAATGCACTGATTGCATGTTAATTGTGGCAGGAATATCCTCAATGTCATTAAAATCCTCCAACATGATGGATCTACTTATGGTCTTCTTTGTACACATGACAAATTAACATTGTTATAGTTACATCTGGAAATAAGCATTTGAAATAGATAATCCTTTAAGCCTTGTGGCTGAATTTTTGTGGCTTTTGTTTAACTTTGAAAGGTTATATATGCACTAACCTTTTTTGATGGCTGCTTAGGCTTTAATTACAGAAACAAGATTTCAAATGAAACTGTCTTTGGCAGTGAGTAAATGGCATATTTTGAGTGGAGTTGTATACTTTTTCATAAGGTGTTTGGGAATTTTTTTTTCCTGAAATAAATTATTCCACACCTACATCAGTGAGTTATCCGCCTATCTTGAGTCCATCTGTAAAAGAAAGTTGTATCTTGTCCTAATTTTCAATTTTCCACTTTTATTAATTTGTTTTAATCTAGTGTTGCAAAAAGAGGGTAGTGCATTTTAAATTGACCTTCATATGCTTTTAAAATGAGACAAATGTACTTGATAATGTACTTCTTATTTGATCTCAAGTTGTATAAAACCAATAAATTTGTGTTACTGGTACTGCAGTAGTAATCTTATGCCCACAGTGATTCCATGTTAAATGCAAAGTAGTTAGGCAACTGTTTTCTTAGTTACAGGAGTTTCAAGCTTCACTTTTGTGCAGTAAAAGCAAAAGTAGGCTACAGTCTGTGCCATGTTGATGTACAGTTTCTGAAATTGTTTTACAAGACTTTGATAATAAAACCCTTAAACTTATGTTCATGTTCCTGTAAAACCGTATTTGTATTTATTTACAAGCTGTTGAATGTATGACATTTACCTCATTCATTTTACAAATCAAGTTCTTTCCCCTTCAATCTACATATTTACATAAAAAATCCGTCACTGTAGTGATTAGTTGCCATCAGAATTGTCAACAGTTTAATTTCTATCTAAAACAATCTGTTTCTTAGTGTAAATTTCTCCTATTTTGGGTGTAGGGATTGGGTTGCATAAAGCAGTGAACTTTAGGATAAACAAATGATCCCACCTATACCTAGTAAATTTATATTTTCAGTGAAATACTTGCCTTTGCTGGAATAGTATAGCAACTGTCAATGGTATGTATCTATTGTACAATACTACATAGTATATTTATTCATTTATAATATGAGTAGTAGTAGAGTGGCTGGGATTAAGGGGGAAATAAGACTTGGACGTATAGCTTTTATCCAAGTCTGACAATTTTTTTTAACTTTTAAAATTGAAATGCCATATAGAAAAGCAGCATTGTTTTTACAGTTTGTAGTAACTTTTTAAAGATTTTATCAAAAGGAATTTTTGTCTTCTAGTAAGGTTCCTAATAATCACTTCATTTTAGAAACAGTTGATCGCAAATGATATTTACTTAAACCTACAAAAACTAGTAGGTGAAGGTTGAACCATATGACATTGCCATTTTTGTAAATCAATACAAGTAAAATGTTGGCGGTTTCACCTGGTTGAACCTAGTATTAGTCTACTTCCTCATTTGTAATCTCTGAATACAAATATACTTAACTTTTCAAAAGGGATTAAGAACTTTTTGGCTATAAAATAGTGCCACTGCTTTAGATGCTGCAGTGCAGGGAGTCCACACTTAGGTTATTTTTCAGAGAACATTTTATGCACAGTGGTAAGGTTGCACAGGGACACAAGCCTTTTTTAACACACAATCAGTTGAAATCCAGTGAACACTGCCTCCACACTGAGTTTTGTTCTGTATTTAGTAGTAAATGATTAAAAAATAAAAGTGGTTTTGTTAGAAAAAATGTTTGTCCTATTTATTTGCTTAAATTCTTCAGGAGTGAATGAGAGGTAGTAGCTATATGAGAGTCCAGTCATGAGTTTCTGTTTCACTTACAGCGGGGAAGACCTGTGTCTGCTACTTTGATTTTCCTAATTGTAAAGATTGATAACCTATCCTGCAGTGCAGTTGGTAATTAGGGAAGAGTGCAGGCCTGCGTTGCCTGGGTCAAAAACTGGTACCTTCTATGGAACCTTTCAAAATTAGTTTAGTTTGGGTAATGTTTTAGCAAAAGCATGCAGATAAGACGGAGGAGGCTATGTCGCGCTCCATTGTGAAGCTGGGTTTTAGGTGATAATCTAGTGACTAGAGTATAGGTCTGGAAGGGAGGTGAATGCCAGGTACTTAGGAAAACAACAAAGGGGGGCTTCTGCTGGAACAGTACAAACTCATTTTACTTGAAGTTGCATCTTACAACTAAGTTCTGGTGTGGGTATCGGACTGCACAAGCCAACTTCCTCTAGCAAGAAAAACAATGCCACTTCCTTCTGCTGAGCTGCAGATGAAGTGCTTCGGGTCCATACTGTTTGAAGACGGACAGATTTTCAAACTGGAAGTGAGATTTGTTCCTTTTTTCTCAAGCCTAGCTGATGGACTTCATCCCTGTACTATAATATTTCCCTAATCGAGTACATGAGTGGTGTTTACTTTGGTTAAGTATGGATGGTACGGAAATGCTACTGGTACTCTCAAAAGCTTCCAGAATGTGAGGCTTTCTTAAAGCAGCAGTTTCTAAGTGAGACTAATTCTGGAGCTGTCGATTTTGGAGTCTGTTTAACTCAGTTTTAATTTTGTTGCCATTTTCATTGTATGCAAAACTCATTTAGAAGTTCTTTAGCAAAATAACTCATGTGTGAGCCATACTAATTCTTTGCCTGTGGGAATAATCTTGAGAATATAATTATTACTAGCAACCTAAGGCAATTCACAGAATAATATTTTTTAAATGTCCTTAAAAAAAAATCGGGCAAGTGACATGTTCACATTCTTTTCAAAATTTCCCTTTGTAAAGGTTATTTTCCCAGTGCACTGTCACTAAAATTAGTATCATGTCTTTTTCTTAAAAGCTAGTTAGCTAAATAAAGTAGGATGGTTTGCATAAGGAATGGGAGGCTAAGGGTCACGGCAAATGGAATGTTAAAATTCACTTAGATACCAAGTTTTGGAAGGAAGCATGTAGATTAAAAACATTTTAGCAGTTAGCATTCAATCAAAGGAGAAGGAGATTTGTTAGAGGGATTTGACCTTAATTATGGGAGCTGGTTAAGCAGTCTCAAAGCCGTATGGTCTTCGCATGATGCTGGAGAATGAGATTCACAGGCCGTTGGGAAGAGAAGATGCATCTTTGGAGAAGGAAGAGTAACTTAACCGTAGGCACAAGCTGGCACACACAAGGATGGGCTAAAACTCAGGTCTCACTGCTTCCGACCTGGGTGGCATGGCAGGAGCCAGGACCCTTCATCAGGAAGCTAAACACACACCTGAGAAGGTAAAGTAACTGCAGGCCCGGTTCTGCCTCATCCCAAAGGGGCCAGCAGGTACCCCACAATGTGTAGAAACTATGAATTTCTGCTTCACTTCTCTCCACAACTCCTTCACCACCCATTTTCATTAAAGCATCCCAGCCAGTCAGTCAGCCACCTCTAGTGGCCAAGCATGCCCTGGGAGGTAAGTAGTGGGTTTTTTTATTTTTTACACAAAGTTTTTACTTTAGGCTAATTAGTCGCTTACCTGCAAAACATGATTAAATTCAGGAATGATTGCCAAGTATATTCCTTTAAAACCCTTAGGAGATTTTGCTTAGTTATTTGCAGGTGCTGTGGCAAAAGTGAAACTAACTGTACCTACCACAGGAGCCCAAAGTACTAAAATAAGCTGCTAATTTTAGTTCATCATTACGTAGTACTGTAAAGAGGGTCACATGACCTGAAAAATGCAATAATACTTGAAATATTTTTAGATAGCAACCTAAGATGCTATTGCCTCAGATTTCTGACATAAAATGCTTTGCAAAAGTGGTTTTCGCTTATTCATAGTACACAACTGATGGGCTATTACCAAGTTTACCAGTGGTGTAATACCCACTCTGTCCATTTATCTCTTGGGCAAGTTTCACTGTCAGTTGTCTTTGAAAGTTTCCGGTTTCTAAATATAGCAACTTTAGTAAGAATACATTTTGTTAATTTTAGGAAACATGGTTAAGATACCTTTTGCTGGATTAATAGCAGAGGCATATTGTGTTCCATACTAAATAATTCTCTCACTCAATTTTAAAGGTAGGACTTCAAATTCACCTAGTTTTGACTGCAACTTTCTCAATCATGCTGTTCGCAAATAAAAGTAACATAAATGAGAAAAGGAAGCACCCCTTAATTCAATCTGAAAACATTTACCCCAGCCCTTTTTTGTCCGCTTGAAACAGGATCAATTCTGTAGACTTAGTGAAAAGCAGGGAGAAGGAGCCACTAAAGAATCATTCACTACCCTCCCCAAAGGTGTGAATTACAAACTGTCCATGAACAACACTATGAAACCCATTTCTATTAGCGTGAGTGGGCTCAATACCAGTTCAAAGCAGAAAGAGACTGAATTGTTTTTCAGCTTCTGTCAGCTATTAGATTCTCTGAAATGTGTTCATTTCCAGACCATTGTATGTTCCCAGATTCACAATAATCGGAGCACATCTGCTTTATGCTTCTTTTTTATGAAGTCTGACAATTCTCTATGAACATCTACAGACAGAAGCAAGTTGTCTCTAGGGAATTATTTTCTTTAAGACAAATATCCTATCTTTTGATACCACACTGGTGGCAGGAATATTGAGCATTTCAAAATAGTCATTTAAGGTGGCCATTTCACAGTCCCCCATTTAAATTACCTTCAATCACAAATAGAAGGCATATAGAATTTTAAGGACCTACATTATAAAATTGAATTTTCATGTGAGATTAAAAGATATGGTGTTTTGATTTACTTACTTGAAACAGAATATAGCTTCATTCATTAACTGGATTAAAAGGCACATTTTGAAAAGTTTACTGTGAAAAGTTTATTTGCATTAATAACTCCTTGTTTTCACCATCATAAGAGATACTGACATTTGCTTGTCCTTTATGATCAAATAAAAGACATTTGGAATGGATCATCTCTTTCTACTATTCTTTACGAAAGAAAAAGGTAAGAGTTAAGAACAAAATCCAAGTGCAAAAGTTTTCAGTAGTCTTCCTACCTCCAGTGTACCCCAGCAAAATATTCACAGCTTTTAGGAAATTGATAAATTCCAAGTTGCAATTTACCATGTTTTTCCCCCACTAAGTTGTATGTCCTTAGGTAAAAATCTACAGTACATTCCTGAAAGTGTATCATTCCCACAAAGTAAGGGAGCCTAAAAGCAACAGTGATCACTACCATTCTGTGTCTCAAACCTCACATACTCAAATCACTGACAGGATAATTCAATCTCTAAGTCACTTGATCGATAAGCATTCCCAAAATAACTGGGATCAACTTTCATTCAATAAACCTAGTCTGGTTTTACCAACTTTTCCACAAAATTCAACAGACCCACATCAGGTAGTAATTGGTCTTTGAATTTTTAACTATGATTATTTTTCTCATTATAAAATGTATTTAATAAAATGTCAACATATGCAATGTGTTATTGGCATGAAAGATGCAGCTTTAAAGATGTTTATTATAAAAATTTTCTTATGATTGATGCTTTGGATTTGTAAATAATTAATCATCTTTTCAATAAAGGTTTCTAAACTCATTCAAATTATTTAAAATTCTGGAAGAAGTTCAAACTACTGGTCACTCTAAAAAACCTGACAGATGCATTCTGACACATTTATCAGGATACATTTAAAAAACATTTCTTGAGCTAACTTCTTAAATACAACATAACATTAGGACTGTTACACATTATTCT